CCTGGCTCGCGACATGTTTTTGTACCTCTCGATGCCTTGGCGGCCGCAGTTCTTGTTGCTCTGCGCTCTGGCCTTTCGCAGCAGGACTCTCACCAAAAGTGTTAGTTGTCATGTAACCGTGACGGCCGTAGTCATCGGGCACAGAAGAGTGGAAGGTGTCGCGCCGTCCATCGCGTGCACCCCTCTCCTATCAGTCAAAGTAGCACCGAAAACCGGTTCAATAGGGCGTTCGAAAATGTAGAGGTAGCTTCTACCCTTTCACGATCTACCTCCTGCGTTTACAGAGCCCACCGCGCTTGGGAAATCACCAACAATAGGGTCTTATCAGAGTCAGTGCGAAGTGGTCACACTTATCTTGCTGACCATAAGAAGAGCGGTCTCAGATTCCCTCTATTCCCTCCTCCTCCTCATTTTCCCATCTTCAAGCTCTGCCAGAAAATGCTATGAGAAAATACCTCTCGACCCGAGACACAAGCTCTGTAACCGAGAGGTTTTCGCATTGCTTTGTAAAGGAGAAGAATCTCAAGAAACAAAAGGAAGCAGTGTAGTTTCCTAACTGCACAATGACGCCCTATCCCTTTCGTCGATTTTTTCCCCCAAGAACCTGAAGGCGCCACGTGATGCTGTACCCTCGGACTCAGCGTGAGGGGAGGGGTGGGGACGCTAGACTGTTTCTTCTGAACACGAAAAATCTTGAAGTAATCCTCCCTGTGTGATCCTTCACCTGAGCTTCACATGTCTAACTTGCACAGTTAAAGCGGCGGTGTCTGAATTATTACGTCGGTTGCTGCACTGCGTACCTTGCATTAAACTTTACGTCAACCGGCGGCTTGTGCGTGCATTTTGAAGACTCTTGTTTTTTAAATGACCGGATTCTTGGTACTTTTTGCGTTGCATATCTATGTTTTCTTGCTAAGTTATGCTTATTGTACCATAATTTTTTTACCGTTAAACCAATGGGTATGGAAACTTCTGAACTGCACCACTTAATTCTGGATTGGTTTTTTTATTACAGACACACATCATTTGATTTATTTTGCATGGAGCGCATTTGTTTACGGAGAGATTTCATGAGAATTCAGCCTTTTTTAATCTCTTTAATTAGTCTTTTTAATCTTGAAACTACTCAAAGCCTGAGAACCTTTTCGAGAAGCGGTGTTCACATTTGCGATAATCATATTATTTTTGTCTTTTCATCTTTGTTTTTCATTTTATCTATCGAATCATGCTATTATTTTTTATTTATTACTCGTTTTTCATTCCTACAGATTTTCTACTATTCGTAATTTGTTATCTGTTCTTAGCAAACATAGCGGGCTCGAAGAGGCAGTTATGCGATCTCTCTCTTCGACCTAACGCATTCTATTTTTTTTTAATTTGGTTTGCTCAGATTACGCAAGAGGAAGTCTTTGCGTTGCTTTAATCATTGCTTTTTTATTACTTGGATGGTTGCGGATATCTGAAATCCGCTACCACTTCAATAATTTTAGAGGGGATCCTTGGATGGACGTTTCCTTGTAAGTTTTCATTTACTTGTAGCCTCTTTCGTTCACATTGTCGTTCCACTTCCAAACTGCTAGAATTCTGAGCTATGATTGACGGTTCTGCTGGCAGCTTTTTCATGCTTTCGGGAGTGACAGATAATCAGATGAACGAACGACAAGATTTGTGATGCTGCGGCGACGACTAATTTGTCCATTGTTCAGGGTAAAAGGACTGGCTCAAAGAAGCTCTGGACTTACTTCTTTCCGACTTTTTTCCTTCAAAAATGTTCAGCTGAAAGCTATCTGTCCCCGGACCTAAAACTGCTCTTATTTTTAGAGTAGTTTTTACTGTCTTTTTCACAAGTTTTTCCACCGTCAGATCTAGGGGCTCGCTTATTTGTGCCTTAACCAAAACACATCCATTCTAGGCTCCGGTTCGCAGCTAAAGAACTGCCGCTCATTTTCATAATGGATTTTTATTG